AAATAATGTTTTTTATTCGAGTGGACCCCACCCCCCATGTGAGAGAGGTGTAAACCCCGATGTAAATTTTGATGTACCACTAGCACGGTCCCAAAATTATATAGATTTGGTGTCAACATCTCTCCCTACTCGTGCGTTAGCTGCATACTGGGAGAACCCATTAGAATTCAAGGTTATCGCTACGAAGTGGTGGTAAAATTAGCTTATGCATTTCGACGCTCAAGATTAGGGATGGCAACGTGAAAGTGTGTCAGCGTATCTCCATCGGGGATTTTTAAGATGCAGAATGGGAGAGGTATTAAAATAATTTCATTAATCATGCCGTATAATTATTTATTTATCTTTTTGAAATATATTCAAATCGAAAAAATATATCAAAGTATTCGGATTGCAGCCTATAGTTATGGCAGATTCTAGTGAATTAAAGATTTTAGATTCAGAAGCTACGTACTTATTGTCTGTAATTCATCGAGAAAAAAATAATTCTCAGACATGTTTTTTTAATAATATTGTTTTTGTGTTTTAAAAAAATATAGTAAATAAAATAGACATTCACTACGTATGAATCCTGGCTCTGTCACTAGGACCAGGAATAAAGGGAATAAGGGTGTGAGTGGGAAAATGTAACATTTCAAATCTAGATAATCTAGATTTAGAAATACTATCATTTAATTATATTAAAATCATAAATGTGAAAAAAAATAATAAATTTTTTCTTTAAAATAAATATCAATGATTTCATTTATAAAAATGTTTTGTAGAAAAATTTTGTGCTTAATAAAAAAATAAAAATTTAAGACAATTAAATTAAATAATGTTAATTTTATTTTCAAAACGAAATTAGTATTTGAATGTTAGTACTTACATGTCTCACCACAAGTAGTCGTCTCGAATCGTCTAACATTCATCATTTGAAAAATGGTGAGAGATGTCATGGAATGAGCTAATGCTCAATAAACAAATATCATGCATATGATACGTGTATGTATTACTTTAAAATATTCAATTTTTTCTCAATATGTATCCCATTTTCTTGAAAATTAAAAAAAAAAAAAAAAAAACTTTTAACATTAACATTATGAGCTCACTTAGAGTATCACTTAACTAATCAGAATGCAGTGAGCCATTGTTATTTGAAACTCAATATCGGCTCCTTGAATTCCTAATCTCTGTAATAATGATCTTTTTGGTGCATGATACTCATCCTTTGAAATATATTTGGCATAGAACAGCTCTTACAAGAAAGCCACATAATTTCCTTTAATTTTGATATTTGCACAAACATATTAATTAAATTTGGGAGCAATATATGAATTAAATCTAGTTCATGCCATATACTCATAGCCAAACCGTTGATTTACATACATAACACCGTTGAATATTTTACAACTTAATTGAAAAGGGCACTACATTAATTTGAGAAATTACTTTATGAGGCCACACGAAAAATAAAAAATGTAAAGAAAAATCAGATGCCTTGTAAAATCCGCACCAATACTCACTTGCAAGAAGATCAGCGTGTCCCTTAAAATGATGGCTGGCTCGTGATCTATAGGTGAAGCTTAGAGTCTCCAAAAGATGTGTGCTGAAAGCAGAGACCTCAGCAGACCAGAACTTTGAAACATCAACA